TTTCCCCCCCCCCCCCCCCCGCTTGATTTATTATCCTTGTTTCTTTTTCCCTTTCGAACTCTATAGTTTCAGCTGCGCGGTCACGGCTTGCCAAAGTCGGACCGGGGGCTCATTCTTTCTTTATTACTTTTCCTCCCCTTCCTTTACCGAGCTTTACACGCTCACGAGTGTTTGTCTTGTTTACGAGAGCCCAATCGCTGACTGATTGATTTTCCCTAACCCAGCCAATGTGCACGTCGTCACCTCAAGTGCGAGTACCCCGACGAGTCCCGCCGCAGGATGCGCAAGCGCAAGGCGACGTTTTCGCCTCCCGCGCTCTCGTCTGCGACCACTACAACGGCGTCGTCCAGCACTGCCTTGGACCTGCAAAGGGCTCCGCCGCAGCCACAGACACTCGCTCCGACCCAGTCTGTCCTCGATTTCGCGACGAGACCTAGCCACGGCGCCGATGTGGACATGGACCTGGACACCCCCTGATGCTGGGAAGAGTCAGCCGTAAATAGGCGCTTCGACGATCGCTCTCTGCACCGAACGCGTCCCTCGAACATACTAGGGGCCCATTCCACTTATCCGCCAGCGCACGCTCTAAACGCAGGCGCCGTGAGCGATGAACGGCGGGCTCTTGAAGATTGTTGCTGTCTCACTCCATCCCGATCATCGCATCCCTATTCCGCCATACCACTTTCAGTTTTCTCTCGCGTTCTTTAATCTACTCAGTTCATCTTTGGTACCCTCTCTCACTCTCCAAATTATCTCGGTTTTGGTCTCGTTCCTCGCTATATTACTCTCGCAGTGCTGTGCGCTTTTCCCCCACTTATAATAACTCACATCTGTACACTCCATGTTCCCTTGCTTATACTCCTTATCGGCCCTATTGCCTTGCCTCGCCTCACTGTCGCACCCAGATTTGTCAATGTTGATGTCAAATGTCGAAGGAGCACCGATGCAATGTGGCTCCGTGCTCGAGGCCTGATCGCCGTCTTTCATACATATACATACCTTAGTTCCCAGCATCGGGAACCAGAGCTCGACCATGCTCGACATCTGGTACTGCCCCTGTAGCGGGTTTGGGTTTGGCCAGGAGAGGTTACCAGGTGCGAGATCCTGTGCGTACACGGAGGGCTCTCGCCTGACATCCGGTCACTAGACCAGATACGTACGGGTCCTGCCGCGGGCGCAGGAGATACCTCATGAGGCCGCGTTCTGCGGTACACTTCTTCTTACCCTCTTTCATCGCTACGTCAGATTGACAACCCTGCAGACCTGATGTGGTCAGATCCAGAAGACATCAACAACTGGGCCGTTAGCCCGCGCGGTGCAGGATGGCTATTCGGAGGTGGCGTGACGGCAGAGGTACGTCGTTCCTCGTCCTGCCTTCCTATCTGCCCACTCGAACTCACTCTCTTCTGCCCTCAACTAAGTTCAACCACGTCAATGGCCTTTCGCTTATAGCGCGCGCACACCAACTCATTCAAGAGGGCTACAAGTACATGTTTGACGAGGCGCTCGTCACCGTCTGGAGCGCGCCCAACTACTGCTACCGTTGTGGCAACATGGCGTCGATATTGACGATCAAGGAGGATGGCGAGAAGATCTTCACGGAATACGGTGCTGCGGAGGAGAACGAACGGGATAAGGGGATGCAGACGCGGAAGATGGTAAGTCGTCCGCCATTTCCTTGTCCTTTGTCGGTCTCCTAGAGAAAGGCGGGCTAATACTCTTCGGATAGGCTATGCCTTATTTTGTCTGAATGGTAGAGGAGACAGGTGTCCTCGTTCATGCTCATGTCACGCTTCGATACCTCAGTTTCATTTTTATTGTACCATGGTATGATATTGTCACTATTACCGTAAACGAGTCTGTCGCCAGAAACCGTTGAAGCAGGTCGTACTCATTACCGCGTAGCAGCTTGCGCGTCAATCGTATCGATTGATCCCACAGACCGTATCACAGAGGTTTGCTCCAGGAAGTGTAACTGAGTGGAGGATTGCTTTGATTGATACAATACACAATAACCTACAGTCAACCGACAGCCAATGCCCACAAGTTCTACTCATAAAAGCCCTCGAACGCCCACCTCTGATGCCCAGGCCCCCACTCCTGATTCTCGTCCCTCTCAAACCACGTCATCAGCTCCGCCGCCCTGAGGAACAGTGTCCCATCCAGCACCTCGAGGCCCCTGATCGCATCCGAGCCACCTTTTCCAGCCCAGTGCCCCTTCGGGTGTGATCCATACACCTGCGCGCAGTGCAGCAGCGTGCGCACGATCTTTGCGTGGTGATCGTTCTTGTTCAGGATCGCGCTCTGCACGAGCGGGAGCCACGGGTTCAGGTTCTGTGCTGCGTCCGCGGGCACGGCTTTTACCGGGGTGTGCGGGACGGAGAGCGGGCCGGTGGGTGTGACTAAGTTGTGTGCGGTCGTGGTGCCGTTCCAGAAGGCGGTTATGGCAGGGGAATCGACGGGAGGGCGGCCGCGGAAGATGTACGTGAGGAGTGACATGGTGAGGTAGCTCCGGAGTAGGAGGATCTGCGAGCGCGGGGAGAGGTAGGTGATGTGTGAGGGGAGGAAGAGGGCGGACGTGACGAGGTGCATGCTGTCCGTGGCGAGAGGGTCGGTTAGTATGAGCTTTGGAAAGAGAGGAAGGGGAACACGCACTAGAAGAAATCGCCTCTGAATTCCTTGTCCTCCGACCACCCGGCCACGGCGTATATCAGCGTGTTCAGCCAGAACAGTTCCTCTATCTTCCTCTTGATCTCGCCTGGCTTCGAAACGTCGATCGTCCACCTGTCCGCGTGCTCGAAGACAAGGGATCCTCGCTCGTTCATAGTGAACTCCAGCTCCGTGAAGAGGTCCTTGGATTTGTGCGTGGCAAGGCGCTCGTCCGCAAGGATGCTGGCGAGCATGTCAAACACGGTCGTGTCGGTGCTGCCGTGGGTTGCATGCGCCGATGGAGGGTCGTTGCGGAGGGAGAGCGACGAGAGCACGGAGGCCGCGAGCACGACGTTATCTGGCGCAGGAATGCTCTTGAAGAAAGACTTCCCGAGGATGTCGGAGTTGATGAGGTCGCTGGTTGCTCCCATGGCGAGACCTAAACGTCTATGTCAACAGGAAAGCATGTGTAAAAGTATCGCTCAGACGTACCCTCGGCGATGAGACCCAGGATACCAAACTCCAAACCGTATCCTACGTGGATCATAGGATGGAGCACTCCAGCCCAGTACTGGCCGAGCATCTTGAGCGCGATCTGAATGTCGTTGGATGATGTGGACTGTATCTCTTGCCTGTTGGGTTTTTCGCCTCTTGACAGGTAACTGCGCACAGAAGGGGCAGACGATGCCGCCGCCCGCGAAACCAACCGCGGACGTGACTTGCACAGCAACGACAAGACACGCCTACGCTACTCTCCGGCATCCGCCGACAGCGGTATGTGAGGTCACACAGCGATTTAAGGACAGATTCCAATACAACATACATATGTTACAATAGAGGGTCGTGGAATGCAGCAAGCCCATGAGGACTATTAAGCCTAATTTCATGCTGAATGCAGTTTATGATAGGTAGCTTGTACTGTAATTAGAGGAGTTCGGGACAGGGTACAACGGGCGGTGGGCGTGTTAGCGCAGCGATTTACAGAGCTATTAAACATGATCCTACGAAGCCATCAGCTCGAGCGTTTCAATAAGTGAAACTTGAAGCGCACACTCTGCTGTGCTGTGCTAAATCGTGTTTCGCACATACTCCGACACAGCCAGGTCAAAGCGGCATAGTAGTCGCTTCTCTTCCGTCACACCCTTCACATCGCCACACCGTCACAGTGCTTCTCCGCCACACCGCTGCATCGCTATACCGCGCCGAGCGGTGCTAAGGGAATCTATCCAGATTCCGACAGTATGTTTTCTCACAGTGTTATTATGTAAAGCCTGAAACGTTTTCACCCGACACCGGAAGCTCTTTTCTTTGCTTCTTACTACACGTCTCTGTCATTGTCATGGGTCGAACACTACGCCTGAAGTCTGAGCGCACTGAGGAGTCGGGGGAGGGATGTCGGCCGCTCGAACGGGTCCATCCTCACGACAAGGTACGTGTTGATACACTTGAGCTGGGTGTTCTGGCGTTGACTCCGTCAAGTTGCGCAGGATTGCGACTATCATACAGGAGTCTCCGCATCACGCTGCCAGGTTTCATCGAATCCGAAACTGTGCGCTCCCTGATTACGACGGCGATGATGCCGCCATTCCCATCCACGATTCCCCAGACGACTCAAGCTCCACCAAGCGAATGTTTGATACTGGCCTGATTCTCAGAGAGGTGAGCATTAATCATTAAATCCGCACTAATAGTCTAACTAAATGCAACAAGGCAATCCAGCAATGGACTCCGGGTCACCCGGAGCATCAGGAGATCTGCCTCGAGTGGTATGATTGGATGCGACTCGTCACCCTTCACAGTGGGCAGCGCATTTTTGCACGCAGGTCGGGTTGTCTTGTGGGTGAGACCCTTGAGGGCTCTTTTAACTAGTCCTCTGCAAGCGTAGTAGACACCTATGTAGTGTCGGGCCTGGTATTAGACATAGTAATGGCAATCCGTTCGAATCGACTAGTTCTCCGTCGTATAATATTGTAAGACCTCACTACAAAGGTACTTGTCCGAAGCACAGGTTTTGGTGGGTTCGCGACACGTCAGCAGTCCGGCATCGTATTCCCATTTTTACGTATGTTGCCGTGGAAGAACACGGTGATCGCGCGTAAGGGAGTGATCAATCACTATAGCAAATAGAACCACAGTCACGATTAATCAGAGCGGGCGGGCGGCGGGAGGCTGATTGATCCGAGCACATGGGGGGCGGAGGGCTGATTGATCACAGCGGTGCGGGAAAGGGCGGGAGGCTAATTGATCACTCTCATGAGTGGTGACCAATTTCAACAGTAAATAGTTCCAGAACCGCGATTGATCAGAGAAGGTGACGCGGAAGGCTGACTGATCAATCTCTTGATCAATAGCTACAGCAAATAGAACCAGAAGCGCGGGGCGGGAGGCTGATTGATCAGAGGGCGCGGGAACAAAGCTGCAAACTTCACACTGGTGTATGTTCCGGTTGATCGTACTATGGCGGCCAGAGGTCGTGATTGATCAATCTGGTCGTTACTGCGAGCCTTATATCCTAGCCTATCATCAAACAGCCTACTACGCGGGTGGGCGAGTGATTGATCACGCACAGCGGGGCCGGAAAACGTCCGCCACGAATGGCCTATTGATCATAACAGCAAGGTCTACTACTTGTCCATAGCATATGATTAATCAGATGATCGTGGCCTGCAGTGGTTCTGCTATACCAACCATTGATTAATCAGTCATGTTTAATCATTACCGCTGGGCTGGAGTGTCCCTACCATCGTGTGATTGATCACTGCATCCTTGCGAGTGATCAATCATTCGACTCCTGTGCTATCCTCATTACCCTTTGTCCCTCCCCCTTTGATCAATCGTCCTCGGTCTCTCATTACTGGGTTTTGTTTGATCAAAGTTACAGCATCGCCTGCGATGATGGCGGGTGTCTAAGTGTCTGGATAACTGCCGCTTCCGATGTCGCCTGAAGGAGAAGGTGGCGCGTGCATGGGATGAGGGCAAGTCCGACGCGGAACAGAAACGGGACGCCTTCGAATAGGAAGACGTCCCAGACCCTGTGGAGGAACTCGACAGAAAGTGTCCCAACGAAGAGAATGTACGAGAGGCAAATAGATGAACAGGATAGAACATGGACACTTATGGTATGCGAGACAACGACGTATGAAGACAAGTGAGCGAGGAGAATATAAATGCAGCAGAGATATCCACAGGGTGAGTAGAACTGTCATGTATACGCGTTAGCGTCGTGATAACGGAGATAAATGAGAGGGGGACGCAACCGAAACACCAAAGACGGACGAGAGACGCGCACGAACGCGGTGCAGCGCTACAGGATGCCAGCGTCCTTCAGCGCGTTCTGCAGGATTGTTTCCTTAACCGCCGCGAACACTAGCCTGATATTTGACGTGTCGGTCGCTTGCGTAAGGCTAGTGAACCAAAATAGCCAGTCAGTCAGGTACGAGACGACGGGGCGAGCAGGCGAGGGGGGATAACAGGGAAGGACCATGTGAAGGCAGTGACTTACTGGGGGTAAACGCGGAGCCTCGCCCGGTTCGCCTCCATAAACTTCCAGAGGATATACTTCGCGGCCTTGTTGATGTCACTGCTGCCAGTGTATTCCGGGAAGTAGTGCCCCAATGGAACCTAGACGTGCACGGCAACTCCGTCAGTCATTGCGCCCGGGCCTAAGCAAACGACGATGAAACATACCTTTGGCACTTTAGTCTTGAACACGTCGATCTTGTTCAGGAACAAGACGATTGACGTTCGGAGGAACCACCGAGAGTTAATGACACTCTCGAAAAGATTAAGACTCTTGGTCATGCGGTTCTGGTTCCGCTCTTCGAGGAGGACCTGGTCGTACTCCGACAAGGCCGTGCAGAAGATGATGCTGGTGACGTTTTCAAAGCAGTGGATCCACTTCTTCCGGTCCGAGCGGTGGCCACCGACGTCGAACATGTGCACCCTGCGACGCTCGTCAGCGATGCGCCACCCGGGGAATCACATGAAGACAGAGTACTTACGAGAGCTGCCCCATGTTGAATTGGGTCTCCTTGATACTCGTCGTCCTCTCTCGTGCGCGCAGCACATCCGTCTCCGTGGGGCAGTAACCCTGCCCGCCGATCCGCTTGACCTCGCTGAAGAAACTGTGGTGGGATTAACGTCAGTAAGCGGCGATAACGAGTGTAGATGAAAGAGGGGGATAGCGCAGCAGTGAGGACAGGGAGACGATGACGAAGCCGAGAGACATACTAAGAGGCCGAGTCCATAAGGTAGAAGTCGCTACTCCGATCCATGATCGAGGGAATGACGGGGTCTTGCCAGAACTGCGAGATGGCGAGGGCCACCTCCTCCGAGAAGTTATCTGCTCGCCAGTCCAGTATCCGATCGGCATTCACCTAGCGCATATATCCACATCAGAGACAAACGCCGGGAAGGAAGCGTGGTTTGACTGGGGAAGGGTGCTGAACACGTACCTGATTATTAGGAAGCTCGCAGTCAACATTGATCTTTCTCATGAACAAAATTATCCCCTGGGCGCTGTCAAGCGTGTTCTTGAAGATGATTGCCTTGTACGACATCAATTCGTCAGGCGTGAAGCCGTTTTGATGAATTATCTTCATTTGCTTCACAATCGTCGACTTTCCTGACTCGCCGGAACCTGCGGGGAAAGGGGCAGGTTAGCACGGGCAGAGTGCATGCGGAGCGTCAGGAGAAGGATGGAGATGAAATGGTGTGATGAAGGGACACTCGTCCGCTAAGCGCAGACGAGCGCTGGTGCGCCGCCGCCTCGGTACGCTCTCGTTCGTTCGCGAAGCCGTCCCCATGGAGCAGAGGGAGTCTGACACGTAGGAACAGAGGGGCGCATGGGGGACGAAAAGAGTGGAGGGAGGAGAGGAGAAAAAAACGCACCAAGCAGTAAGATTTTACATTCTTTGCGGAATTTGCGCGAGTCCTTCTCAATCTGGCGGTCGATCTCGTCGGACTTGGCGTTCTCGATGCAGTCTTGAGAGGAGCCTGAGATGCAGTTGCCCATAGTAGGCGGTAAGCGTGGGCGAGCGTGGTGGGTGGAGGCCAAAGTATGAATAGAGGAGAGCGCGGGGGAGGAAGACTGCAAGGCTAGACTGGCGAGAGCAGGAGTAAAGCTAAGACGGGGCCGTCGCGACGGGAATAAACGAACATATGGGCGCTTGTGTATGCGCGACATTGACGCGGCTGCATAGCCACGCAGATCATATGTGACAGGTCAGCTGCCAATCGAGTCCGTCCATTAGACCCAATAAGAACAGCATCTATAATAGGATACCGGGCCATACCGAATCGTCGCCAATATACCTGCATGTATCCAATTTGTAGATAGTCGATACCGGCCGAGGAATATGAATATATTTTTGTTCAACGCGGGGCTCGATCGTGTATACATTCTTTATCTCTCTCCGTAGTTAGCGACTTGCAGAGGGCATACACACGAACACGAGCACTCGCACAGCGGCCACTGTGCTAGGTACACATGCTCGTGTCTTAGTGCACTGCAGACACACTCGCAGACGCGTAGCACGTCTCTCGACATGGCTAGGCCACCGTGAGAAGTGCGTGGGAAAACGGACTCATCAAATGAATGCCCTCGACCTCGATGCGTCTCTCTTTCCCTTGTCTCTCTTTGTCTCTCCCTCTCGTCTGCATACACCCACGTCCGTTCACCCATCCCTCTTTTCTGTATTCTCCTCCCGCTCCTAGTCCCACACCCACCGTTGTGCCAGAAGCGGTGAGCACGAGGTCTGTTCGGACCGGCAAGATGGCAAGCTACTGAAGGCTGCCAAGCTGCGCTCTGGCAAGTAAGTCGCCAGTTCACTGGTTGCTGCTCTGTTACTGACGCACATATCGAGAACATTAGCACAGCATCTCTGCATTAAAAACAAGAGCCAAACCATGGTCGAGGTCTTCAACCAATGGTGGGAGTCTCTGGGCGAGATCGGGTAAGAGGTACGTATTTTAATTGTCATCTGCATCGACATGTTCTAATAAGTAGATATAGAAGTACAATGGTAAAGCTGAGAAGCTCGTAAGCCTATATACTCGGTTTCTGAACCTGCTGACCGCGCCTCCAGATCTCCGACAAAACATCGGTCAATACCAACATTGGTGTTAATGCTACCATTGTCGCCAGCTCGTTGTTCCATGACGCGTAAACGGGGCAGAGGAGACGAGGAGGAGGTCCGGACGCATAGACAGCATGTACAACAGCGTATACGTAGCATATGATATGTGAATGTATATTTCAGTATACTGCAGTATACCCTGGGCGAGAATCATTCAAAAATGAATATATTCATATTCCAACATATGGTGCTGTATTAATTCATATATTCAGTAGATCACAGTACACCGCAGTACATTTCAGCTACTATTTGTCTCATTTTCGTATGGTAGTGTACTGACAGCTATTCTGGCATACTTTTTAGGTGGGCTACCTAATTTGTACATTCCGGTATGGTCCGGTAGCCTACGCTAGAGGCCGTTCTTAGTGGGCATTAGATCTCATCTTCAGCCTTACCGACAAGCCCTCATTTAAGCCGTCTCTCCCCTTCCCCACCACTAGTAAGGGATTGCAATCCTCCCAAGACGTACTCCTCCCGCTTGACCCATCCAGCATACTTCTGCTGTCAGTTCATTGTATCCTATCCCATCATGGCCAGTACTCTGATCATTGCTCACTCGACAGCATTTGAACCCGGAGAACAGCACCTCAGCACTTTGAGAGTCAACACAAGTCATGGCAGCATCGCTCCCGGTCTTCACCAACCTCGAAGACCTCTACCAGAATCTCGGCACGTCCCTCAACCTCGTGTGAGTCGTCTGCCATCTTATGTTCATCTCGTGAATAGCAAACTGATCTCACTTCATTACTCCTTTCCCCCACGTGCGTGTGTCTTCCCATCCTCCTATCGACATTCCCTCCCGAGCTCACGTATCCGTGCCCCAGGGGAGCACATCGACTACCAGCTCTTTGGATGCTTTCCTGCCGCCATCGAGCACGATATCCTCATCGCCTGCGCTCCCTGTTCCCCCACTGGTAATAGCCACGGAGATGTCGTCACTGAGAACCTGTACCCCACCCTCGGCGCTATCGGTATCGAAGACATCCCAAAGGATGCCGCACACGTTGAAGAATGGCACCTGGACATCAACAAGTCGGAACTGAGGTGGGAGAGCTACGTCAAGGCCGGGTACTACGTGCGTTCACTACATGTTCTGGTTTCGAGCCGCATGCTAACGTTATCGATGTGCTCAGAGGGCCTTGAACCATTACTTTGCGCCTGGCGAGACCGAGCAGCCGATTCCGGTTGATCTGCTTGTCACTGCCTCCGTTCCTCCTGGCTTGGGTCCTTCAAGCAATGCGGAACATACCAGAACTCACGCAGACTCACGCCTGCCTATCCATCCACCCACCTGCCCTAAGCCTTCCTCCTCAGAACTCATCCCTATTTGCCCTCGCCCTCCGTTTCTGCACGTCCACCCTCGTAATGCCCTCTTGTGCCTTCAAGGCCTGTGTGAGCTGACTCTCATCCGGAGTGTCTGCTTGGGGGATGAGGTTGAAGACGTGAATGTTCGCCATGTCGCCCGGGCCAACTGGACCAACGTGCTGCAACGAGGCAAGTGCTGGATGCTGCGATTCTGGGCATTACTGCGCTTGTGCTCGGGGACAGCAGCTATGACACCGAACTCAACCTCTACCTCGATCTCCTCGCCGAACATCAACACCGAACACCAAGTCGGTGACACATTGGTGATCGACGCATGACTTGTCAATATCTGCGGAGGGTTGTTTGTCTCACAAGCCCTTTCATCTTTAGGCTCCAGTGGACCAGTGCACTTCAGTGCTTGACAACGCCTACTGACATGCCCAGGCGGCGGACGTCACCGTATCGCTAGTACCAACACCCCCAACGCACCAGTGTTACCCACCGCTAGTGCCGTCGCCTCCGACAATACGCCGCCTCTTAACTTGCCATCCGGTGGTTCTACTACGTCCGAGCCCGGCGATGATTCAACAACGGTCCCGCGCCGGAGCTCCGTCCGTGGCACCATCCCGAGCACACGCAACGAGATAGCCAATAAGATCGGGCCTGTGCGGAAGAAGCGCAAAGCTGCCTCTGATGAGCAAGATCCAGAGGATGGCCTGGAGGCTGCCAAGAAGTTGAAGCCTGGCAAACCTGGTCATAAACCCGGAGGGAAAAAGTAAGTCCTCATATTTCTTGTTCATATAAATGCACCGATTCCGCCTCTCAGAACACAGAAAAGTTGAGCATGCCATGCTGTTTTTATGACAACTATCATCCACTATGTCCTTATGTATTTCCGTGTGCTAAAATACGTACCTCATGTTGATGATACACTGGCTATGTCTGATCTGAAGCATAATGGATGAGTGATTGATCATATAACATTTTACATGGTGATCAATCAATTCTACAAGCTCTGGTACGACAGCCGGTTGAAGCAACACATGCGCTCCAGATCATCAAGGCGCCCCTCCATCAAGAAGCAAGTTATCTCCTCTAGAGCGCAAAGGATTTGTCTTAATCTCTTTGACTTATCCTGTACATACCGAAGCCTGTCATTTACACCGAATTCCTGTAGTACATCCGCCTCAGTGTCCTCCAACCCATCTAAGATAGTACCCAACCTTTCAATATGACAATTGACAATGTTGATCGAACCTTGAGACCTTGATGTGTCGACAAGGTGATCAAAGAAACGGGTGATAGATCTGCCCGTGATGACTTTGAGTTGCCCGTCCAGTCTCCCCAACTGTGCGCAATGCCTGATTGATCATTGGGTGTCAGCCAAGGCTTTCTGGTCCCCCTAGCTGCGCGTACCTGTCCGAGTCACTGGCACCCTTGTTTTTATTTGACGTCTCCTTTGGTGAGCGTAAGAGCTTGCACCTAGATTTAACAAGGTAAGCTGAGGCACTACCCATCCATAGACACTGTGGGCGTACGGACTTTTTGTTTGATTGTGCATACTTCTGGCGTAGTTTCTCATTGATAGAATCTCTATTCCTGCATAAAGTTCATTACTGTGCAGTCGAATAGTATGGGATAGTGCTATGCTAGACACGTACCTTGTATAGTATGCTTGCCTATATGCTCGGTTTGCTGCTTGACACTCTTCAGCAGTGTGGTAAAGTTTGGGCCGGCCATTGTGATGGTTTGGAGTAAGAACAAAGGTGATGTTCCTGGGCGAACCGTCTCTGAGTAAATAATCTGCGGCGGAAGTACTAACACCAATCACCCATGATCACGTGGTTCACAGCTAACCAAGTGCGGAGACTTCAGTCTCTCATGACATACCAATGTTCCATTCGTTAGACACTTCTATGAGCGTCAGTGACCAGCCCAAGATCACTAAGACATCAAAACACTTAGTTGATAAATATTCTAGAGGTCTTAGTATAGGGTTTTGAGTCGCAACACTCCCAGTATAGTCATTTTCATAGGAGACTTACTACTTCATGACATACATCCACTTTTCATGCATCCCCTGTAAGGTCTAACACACATTGTAGCATATGAACTGGTGATGTGATGTATCTGTAAGCATACATATGCCTAATAGACGTGATGAGTATATTTCATGATAGATGTAACCTGTTTGACAAGATTCTGCTCTGAAATCCGTTTAGTACTTTAGTATTGGGTTCAATGTTTTACATTGGATTCATAGGAGATTTACTGGAAACGTGGAATACTGGCCAATCCACCTGATGAGATGAATTTTATGAGCCGTAGACCTCATACTCATAGGCTATAAGTGCTATAATACATGGCTAGAGCACGACATGAGCTGATATATATGCTGTGTTCTTACTTTTGTCATCTGAAATTCTAGTTTTAGGAGGTTTTATTAACATATGTGCGTTTCACTCCTTTGTCGTCACAGTTTTCATTTCACAACAGCGACTATTTCCATAACACAGAAATGATATGTTAATCGACATGATTGGAGCTAGCTACTTTGCAGGTGATGAACACTTATTCTCAGCATGCATTTCCGTCCTTGTTTGAACGCCTGTCCCTGGGCAAACCCAGTCGTATTTCAAGGAAGGTGACAATGCTTGTTATGTGTTAATATATCACTACAACTCGCTGAGACAAGGATAAATCTCACTCACATAGTGCCCTGATTGCGTCGTTCATGCCGACGCAGAAGCTCGTGAATCTTTCTCCCTTTTGCATGTTATGAGATAGCTCAGGCTGGCGTGCACCTGTGATAGGCAACTGCGTATGATTTTGGGACATGTACCTATAACAATGGATCAAGTACTGGCATTGAGACATATAAGGTGAGCACGTACCAATAGCTCTTGCGCTCGTGGCTTGTTGACGCTGGGATTGGGGTGCGGCAGGAAGAAGCACGGCAGCGAGAGGTTGCCAGAGGTTCTCAGGCACAGAACTGTGACTAAATCGGCGTGTGGCTACGTGATGTCTCGGCGCCAAATTAATGGCGCCGAAGCACAATGCGATGAGGTGGTATTGAATATTGAACACTGAGGAACTACCTTATCTGGCTGATATTGCGCGTTGGACGCGCATCACTTTTGAGAGTCAGTGGAAAGCGACTAGCTATTATCCAGTGTACCGTAACAAGATCCGTGAGTGAAAAATACGATGTCTACATTCAGGTAAAGTCCAGTACGTATGACATTGCGTACACCGACCCGCCTCCTCTAACTTCGAATGCCCTCCAACTCCAGTTGCATCTGCCAAAACGCGAAAAAGAAGTTGTTGTACCGGGGGTACTTGTGATCTGCTTCCCATTCGAGCATCTGTCGAAGTACGGCGGCAGCCTTGTAGTCCTCAACATAGAGGACACATCCAGACTGGAAGTAAGAGCATTGATAGGCTATCAGACATAAGCATAATATGATAATGGGAAAATACGAGAGACGTACCTGCAAATAGCCCATTGTGCTCAAACTTGTGAATGTGCCGGGGGTCAACGATGATGAAGGCGTGGCGTTGGTAACCATCAATGTTCCCGAAGAATTGCCTCGCCTGCGGGGAGTCATCGTAGACCTGGAAGTCGTACTTGGCGTCCAGAGGGGAGTGCAGTCGCACAGTGCCTAATATCAGAGAGAGCAGGCTTGGCATCTGGGACGGATGATCAGAGACAAATCGCCTACCGTTGAAGGGACTATGGCCCTCGAAGTGGTCCAGACAGTCGATGAAAACCCCGTTGAAATGATCAGGGAGATCTTGAAGGGATTGGATGAGGTGGGCGGGCGAGGGCATACCGGATAGAATATCGGTGTGGTGCGTGGTGAATGGCAAGGAAGAGTTGAAGGGGACAAGATTCGAGGGCTGATGTCTACTGAGGCCACACCGACGCTACTTATAAATACATGAGTAGCACCGTAGTTATCAATCACAAACTGGTTGACTGAGTGATTGATCACTCAACGTCAGATTAATGCTGAGGCCAGTGCTTACCTGGTAGGGGATGCTTCTGACATGTCACCGAAGAGCAAAGCCGTGTCGCCGCGCTCACTAACCTTTTAAGTTGCAGACCTTCTCTTCCTATACCATTGACAAGACAATGGCGAAGCAAAAAAGCGGCCGCCCTGACTGGTTCTCGGTGGATACTGACTCAGATGCAAGCTCAGAGGAAGAGCCTACCTCGTCTGGCATCACAGACGACAAGTCTTCGTCTTCCAGACCTGTTGAGGACTTGTCTTCCAAGTGTCAGCACCTGGAGCTAGACAAAGAAAAGCCAGACAGGGACATTACTGGGTCCAGCAAACCTCCTGACCACGATAGCTACGACAGTTTCATGGACCAGAGCACCGAACAAGTGGATATGGACCAAGGGGCCACGGATGTCGGTGATGCAAGCATGAATAAGTCGCACGGCATGTTTGATAGTGTAAGAGATTGATTGACGCTCACCCTCGATTTATACTTACGCTGGCACTATTCTAGGACAATCCACTAGGGTCGTGGACGAAGAACTACCGGTCTAAGTTCTTAGATGAACTTCTAGCCTTCGAAGCGCCCGACACCCTCGAGAACTTGACAGTCTGCCGTCACTGCCACAAGAACCTGCCGACTATACGCTGTGAAGACTGCTACAGCAGCACGCTCCGCTGTGAGGACTGTGCGAGAGAGTATCATTCCAATCAACCATTCCATTGTATTCAGGTGCGTGTAATCAAGTTCTAATGCTCCCTTCTGGTCTAACATCTACAGAAATGGAACGGTCGTTTCTTCGAACGTTCTTCTCTGGCCGCCATCGGATTCAAACTCCAACTAGGCCATGAGGATGCATCGTTTTGCTGGCATCGCAGCGAGAAAGCATTCACCGTCCTCGATCTCCGAGGTATTTTTACCCTCCCTGTGGTGTTCTGTAAATGCCCCACGCATGATCACGATAATGTCATCCAGCTTCTGCGAGCACACCTCTTTCCCGCCACGACTCGCGATCCGGCTACAGCTTCGACATTTCGCTTACTAAGTTTCTACTCGCTCCTTTCCTTTGAATCCAAAGTATCTGCCTGGGAGTTCTACAATACCCTCGCCTGATTCACCAACAACACGCGCCCTACAAATGTAGGTAGTCGATACCGACCGTTCATGCTTATGGCTCGCGAATGGAATCACCTCAAGATGTTGAAGCACGGGGCTCGCGGACATGATTCAAGTGGCATTGCGGGTACTAAGGATGGCGAACTGGCGGTGCTCTGCCCCGCCTGTCCTCATCCGGGCAAGAACCTGCCGGACGACTGGATGTCCTGCCCACCAGAAAAGCGGTATCCCTTTTTATTTCTAATGAGCCCTTTGGCCCCTGTCTCATCGATCTTAGGTGGATCTATTCTTTGTTTATTGGCATAGACACCAATTTCCGTCTCAAACACAGGGACGTCTCCTCTGCTGAAGTCGACCCGAGCTTATCGCACGGTTGGGCATACATGGTCGACTAACGTGCGTATCAAGATCATCTTGATGCACATAAGAATGTTCGTCAGGAGGTGAGTTTTTGTATCTCATTCACGTGTTTACCTACTGACATAGTATCCTAGAAAAGCACTTGTGTTAGCCACAATGCGGTGAATATGGCCGATACGAAGTCATCAAAGGGCCTTGCATCAACTGGCATAGGAACAGTTGATTGCGTGCGACACAACATGAAGCGTCCTCGGAGTGTAGGTCATCTTCAAAAGGGAGAAAGGTACGTGTTTATCGTGAGCTGATGACTAAAGCTTATGCATCCAAGATACGTTAACATGGACTTTTTATTTGTTTTGAGTGTCGCCGACTCAGAGGTGGTCAAGATCGTGGTATCCTATGACATCGCCTGCCAGTGGAGTTTGAACCTCGCAGAACGCATCAAGAAATATCCCCATACGTGTTACGTGGCGGAATCAATCTTGGGCAAGTGTCTCGTCTTTCTGGTGCCGAAGTTCCACCTCCCAGCGCACATCGAGAAATGTCAAATCAACTTCTCGTTCAACCTTATGCCGCTGGTGGCTCGGACGGACGGCGAGGCTCCAGAGCAAGGTTGGTCTGACATGGACCCGCTAGCCAACAGCGCCAAAGAGCAAGGACCAGGCACTCAGATAGACACGTTCAACAGTCACTTCGGTGACTATAACTGGAAGAAAGTCTATGGAATGGGTAAGTGTTTGATCAATGGTTGCTCACTGGCTCTTGGAGCAATTCAGAATCTAAACATGTTGACAGCTGTGGCACTGATGTCAAAGATGGACAGGGTCCGGCCCGAGCGACTTGAGCATCACCGATATATTCAAGATATGGAGAAGATGGCTTGCGCAACATTCCCCGGGCGCCTAGCAGAGTGGAAAGCTGATATGGCGGCATGGGAGGAAGACCACTCTCAGTCCAACCCCTTCCAGCCCCGAGAGCGCAGTATGTGATCGGTTCTTTGAAGTTGTTATAGGTGTTAATTTTGCTGATTACCGTTCAGAGATCACAATGCCAAAGACGAAGCTGAGACTCGCTCAGGCTGAGGCGCAGTCCATCAGCTCCGGCACGATTATGGGAAATCATGGTGACATCTCTCACAGCGAGTTTATCTTGGAAGGGATGGACTTGGAGACGTGGATGTGAGTATTACTATCATTCCAATTAATGTCTCACTCAAACTACGATAGGCGCAAGTTGACCGCCGATAAAAAATCACTGAACGCTCATTCGACGGACCATGAGAAGTCAAAACTCCAGCAGCGCAGGCTCATCAAGTATGCAGCCGTTCAAGGTTCGTATATGCCCTTTGTGGCATGCATGCGTGAGCAGGCCAGCCTTCAGAGCTCAGAGGACGGTAATACTGGCCCCCTATCATTTACCCTATGGCTTCCCAGCGCTCTGCCGCCCACTATGACATGCGACACCCTCCTACTACAGTGCGAGTGGGATCTGCGATACACTCAAGCTCACGACACGCTTGAGGAACTTCGCGACGCGCTGCGGCTGCAAAAGTACATGCTGAGCTTCAAGGACTGCTTCCTATGCGGTCAAGGCGCGAGTACCCGTGCTCGCGAATCCCTCAAGGTGGTTGATGGAGACATCCTCGCATCCACCACCACATACCGCGTCGCATGGTCAGCTTTACACTCGCTAGCCCTGAGGCTTTCAAAATCTGGATGGGAAGAGGAGCTCCGTGAACTTCGTCAAAGGGATATTTGTGCGATGGGTGATCTCTTACAAGGTCAAACACAAGGAACTACTTCGACATCATGGATATGGATTAATCCATCAGTCGCGGATGGGAAAGATAAAGGACTCCAAGATTGTGAGTTGTGCATGTTACTTATCTGATTGAACCTGCTTACAATGGTCGCCAGCCCTTCGGATTGAATGGTGCAAGTCCCACGTGCGAGCTAACAGGTGGAATGAAGAGTTTATCCTCCTTAAAGAAGAGATGAGACACGTACTTCAATTTCTACAGTGGCAGGCCGATTGGTGGCTGGACAAGAGTGTGTTGTGTACGTGGAAGAAGGAAGTACATCAGAATGGTATGCGAGCTTATGCACTTAGGCAAGCAGATGTCAGGCGCTCACTGCGCTCGACATTCGCAAGCAAGTTTGCCAATTACTTAGACATAGATATCTAGTTCTGGGGTATGTTTCACTACGTAGAGGGCAGTGACCATAACCATTGTATTGTGAATAACATTGTAGCAACATAAGGAAGCAAAATCAAGGGCTAGGTTAACAACAGGGTGACTTAGTACTAATGTGAGACTACGTTCATTGATAGCTGGCGCCTTCAGCTGCCTGTGCGGGAGTGATCAATCACAGCCGTTCGAGTAACGCCGGTCATTATGATCAATCACTTACCGGGTCAATGCACTGTGTGATTTGCTGTTTGATTGATCACATGAGACCAATTGCACTGATGAGATGCCCTGACATGTTTAATCAGTTGAAGTTAACTAATGGCCTGCTTTTGAGATAACAGCTTACCTCCGTGTGATCAATCAGCTACGGATGAGTCCGGTATGTTTGGCAAACATAACCACAGCGAATGGATGCAAGGCAAGCTGAATGAAATAATCAGCGCCAGTTTGATAGCAGACAGAGACGGCGGAAAAACATACACATTGATATGATATGATTAACCAGTGGCGGAGGGGGGTGTAAGTAAAAGAACGGCAGCACTAGAGGTATTGATCACTCACCAGAGCTGGGGACAGGAAAGGGGACACTGTTGTTTGATCATTCATGGGATGTGGGGCCAACATGATCAATCAACGCAACGAGGTAAAGAGCCAAGCCAAACTTACGTGAATGATCAAATTGATTGATCAGTGTGGAAGGAGGGTACTGAGGCAACTGATCAAATAATTGGTTAGGAATGGAGAAAGAGAGCAAACGGAATGATCAACAAACGGGAGAGGTGATGGTGTCGGCGGGGCCAGCAAGGGATCAATCAAGTGAGCGGAGAGGAGACCCAGTAGCAGTGATTAATCAGGCACAGGCAGGATGACTGATCAATACGGGACGGTACAAGGAGCTGGTGGGACTGGCCACACGAGTGATCAATCAGTCACCTCAGAAGGGGAGACCGATCAAATGTGGGCGGTGCGAAGGTGCCGGCGGCAGGATAGAATGACCATGCGAGTGATCAATCGGTCTCGGGAGGCGAGACTGATCAATCACTGGTAGTGCGGCTGGCGGTGGGACAACCACGCGAGTGATCAATCAGTCTCGAGAGGCGAGACTGATCAATCATTGGCGGTGCACAAGTAACGGCGGCAGGACAGAACAATCACGTGGGCAATCAGCGGTGCGAAGATGCCGGCGGCGGGACCTGGCGGGACAGGGCAACTACGTGAGTGATCAATCAGTCTTGGGACCGGGGAGACTGATCAATCATTAGCGGTACAAAGGAGCTGGCGGGAAACTGGCGGGACAATCATATAAGTAATGTGAATGATTAATCAGTTGCGGGAGGAGGGACTACTTGGTGGCGGAAGGGGTACCAGGAGTGATCAATCAGAATTAATCAATTTATTAATCAAATGCAGGTTACAGTGGACAGACGGGCAGACAAGCTATGTAAGTGGTCAATCACTTGCTATGGAATAACGATCAATCAGGGAGGATCCTGCACATTGCACTGAGAGGAGCGGGGGGCACAAAGCATCAATCATAGGGAGGCTCTAATGACTGGGTTTTGTTTGATCAGAGTTACTGACACTGGTGCCATCATCGTGTTTGCCCTCTACAGCCGACGGGTTCCTTACATTGGCACTGGCGATGAAGCTCAAGGACGACAAGGTGCGCAAGCAGCGCATGAAGATGGAGGCACAGGCAAAGCGCCAGACGCAGCTCCGCCCTTCGCAGAGCATGGCACCGGCAGCGTGCAGACGTCCAAGATCTCTCTTCCTGCCCTTCCCCAAAATTAAGCTGCGCGTATGTCTATGCCTATAGTCTCTCTCTCTATACCTTGACACTCTCCCACCCGCTCCTTGTCATCTGGTCCTTTCTTGTTGCACTTACACAGCTGTCGTCCTTGCTCTCGCTTTTGATAGGCATACCCTCTCTTTCCTCGGTCTCATACCCTTCCTCCTCACTTTTTCTTTCTTTGGTTTCTTGTGCATCTCTGATTACCCTCGATCTCCATCGCAAAATCCTGATATTTCATGCATACCCCCTTTTTCCCTTTCTTTCAAGGCAGCATGTGTATGTACATATACCCTATAGCTAGTAATGGATTAGATATGCATTATATATACCACCATCAAACTGCCACATCAAGTTGCAATTGGCATACATATACATAGCGCGGTTAGGAATCGATTTAGTCATATAGCATAACATAGTTTTTTTTGACATTGCGTTTGAACTGCGTCAGATTTTGTCTTATCGCCTGTAATGCCGATTCTGTTGCCAGTGGTGTGCTCAGGCTGACTCTCTACAACCCCACTGAGCAATGTTCTACAGAAAACGTCTCGAACTCCACGGTGTAAGAGTGTATCAAGGTGGAGATAAGCTAGTCGCAACTGCCAGGAGGTCGAGAGAGGCTGGGATGCTTCATTTTTAATGGCTGTGCGTAGTCTAAAAGTTCCTACGCCTCTTTCTTGCATAGGAGCGATGATCTAATCTAAAAAGTATGAATCACCGCGGCGTCTTGTTACCATGGCTTGCATGCCTCTCAGTTGATCTTCAAACTTTCTTTAGGGAATTATGGGGATTCTCAATCGGACGATGCTGCGGTAAAATATGTCTTTTGAGCCACGTTAAATGGCAAGCAAGGACGAGCAATATGCACTGGATAAGTGTCGCATCCAGCGCGATGTCCCGGGCTGACAAACAAGCACGCACCGGGAAATTTGCTTCCGCTCCTTCCTGTTTGGGGAATCATAGACCCTGTGTCCCAAGGATGGATAGAGTTTGGGTGTCAGGCTGATGATCACAATATGCCGAGTCCCTGTTCAGTGTTTGCATGCTTGTCGATGGCTCCACTTATGTACGAAGGCAAAGGGAACAGCGAATTCAACCTTCATATAGCTTCATATACATACCCTTCTTTTTGGCAGCTGTACCCTCCTTTCTTCCCCGCCCTCACAGTCTCCCCTCTCCGTGCCGTCTCCTCCGCCATGACAGCCTCCACCAGCTCCGGCGTGCCTCCAGAAACATCGCACCAGCTCTACATGGACGCCCTCAGGCTCATAGGTAACACCACTGTCGTAGGCACCTTCTACGGCATCATGACCGCCACAGCTGGCATGTGCGTGCAGACCCTCGTCTGCTTCCGCAAGCGTTGCACATGCCACTGCTTCACCTTTCTCCTCGCGTACGTCGCCGTGCTGTGGGCGAGCAGCATGCTCTACGTCGCGGGCCTCGTGCTCTCGACACAGACGACCTACATCGACCATCGCCTGTTCTTGCCTGGGCCGTATGCGTACTACAAGTTTGACCAGCCAGGCGTGATCATGACGATGGTTACCTACTTCATTGGGTACGTGTTCGCGGATGGAATGATGGTGCGTCTTCCCTCATTCGATGGTTATTGGGGACTGCTAAGGTCGTCTAAATGTGAACCAGGTATGGAGGTTCACCACTGGCTGTGTGATTACATGTAATATTCCGGCAGGCTCCATATCCGGGTTGCCAAAATGTGTGGATCTTGCCCCACCCACCAAAATAAAATGTTAACTCAAATCACAGGTTCTTACCACTGCTGTCGGCTGTCGGAACCTCATTCCCAATACAGAAACCACGCGGTGCCGGTCTGCGGTTTTCTTTCCATGACTTATTCCGACCTTTTCCAGGTTAAACACATTATCATTATTAGTAAGCAAATCAAGTTATGTGTTACCGGCTGCTTCCGGCCCTTTGGCTATCGGCTCCCTGTCCCAAATGTTGCCCCCAGCGTCATCGTCCCTTGCCTCCTCGCCTCCGTCGTTGTCTTCAGCGCCCAAATCAAGATCTGGGTGCCCACCGAGGGATAGCGAAGGTACGACTTCCTCCACTGACCACTTCTTCTCCCACAGATCTGTAAAGTGCGCCCTCAAGCTGCGCTGCAGATGGGCTTGACGGAGAGCGTGAGCTCGTATGCCCTCCGCCATCGTTTGGCGCTCCAAAATTATCCATGCAGGCACAGGGCTATTCATGGCGACGATCCCCGCTCACCGCAGACAAACGGCGATTTTACCTCGAATGAAACCGAGAGAAAGAGGCGGCGAGATGAAAGCCTTTTCCTCCAAGTTTTGGAACCCCCTTTTGCACAGGAAAAGATACTCTTTTAGCCGACATTTGCGTCAATTTTGCGCTGGTAAAGTGGGCGGGTTACCAAATTTGGACACCACCTTCCTGATTTGGACGTGTTTCTATCTAATCTCCGCACAGAAATGCAAGCTCCGAGGCAAAAGTTTAACTTTTCAATAACTTTTCGCGCAGCAAAAGATGGGCGAAAAAGGCTTTCATCTGTCCGCCTTCTTCAATCACTTTTCGTAACAGAAAAATCACAGTTTGTCTGCAGTGGCTCCACCTGGTGCTGACATGTGCAACTCCTCTCCTGGATAGATCATAACCATGCGGCTCTCCCACCATCTCGCCTTGTGCTCCAGGAACGCGCGTACACGACGCATCTCTTCCTTCAATAAGTCGACCTCCTCTTCCCATCGGCTCGTGCGCGCGCGCGCTTTCAACCACTCGACGCGAAGATCTGAAGAGGACAGAGGTTAGCTAGGCATGAACAATGTGAGTTCTTCATACCTTCATCATCATCACCGGTATTTGTTTGGCCTGTCCATATCCACGACACCGTCCAGTAGCCCTCCCCTTATCCTCTTTGCAGGTCGTTTGCCCTTTGCCTAGGCGTCGTCGGCTCGATCAATGGCTCTTGTAGTGCTCGCAGATCGGCCTGGGTGAGTTTTCGGAGCCTGTCTTGCCAACTCCCCCCTTTATCGAGGACCAACAAGGCGTCGAACCCCTCATTGTATTTCGACTTTGACGCCTCGATTTTGCACGTGTATTCTTGGATCAAGGTACGTACTCGAGTTGATGGCTGTTGCCCTCGAGTGTTAATATTCCGATGAGCAGTGAAATGATATCTTGTCTGCAACAAGGCGCGCAGTCTATCAAGGGTCGCGTGGCATTGAGCAATGCGAAGGTCAGTCTCTGTCTCCGCAAAATCGTGAGTACAAATCTTTCGTTCTTCATTGTCTAACGCTGAGGGTAAGAACAGGCTGGTTCTTTCGGGCTTGCGCTCAAGATTGGCGCCGCTTTTGGACCTGACGAGGACGTCTAGGCCAGGCATATAAACTTTTTGGACATCTCGAAGCTTTGAAATGTCGCGGCCGATACCCCTGCGACGTGCATCAACATGTGACCTCTCATCCGCCGTCAGGTCTTTGAGCCGCGACAGGTCTTCGTGTAGGCGGCGCCTGGCTTTGGGTGTTAGCATAGAAACCCGCGTGTTTAGATATCACATACTGCTTATCTTCAAGAATTAAAGCCTGCTTTATAACCACGCTGGGCGGCATATCGTGAGGGTGTACTTGTATGTTTTTCTCTTTCTGAGCGAGCCTCGCATGAACTTCAGACTCGGAAATACCTGGTAATGTATGAGTGCAACGCAAACGTGAATGTAGATGTCAGGCTTACCCTTGTGAGCGTATAAGTATGGGTTTGGCTGCTCCTTGTTCTTTTCCCAAGCCAATGCCATATCAGTCCAGACTTGTCAATTTTCTGAATTGATAGAGGCGCTGAAGGTGGCGAGCGCCTTCTGCTGGAATGCCCGATGATCAAGCGCCACGAGCAGGCGTGCTCGGAGAGATACACCCAGCATGTAGTACTTCAATGGATTATGCAAAGAAAAAAGCATGTCGAGCGTGTCATGTCGAGCGCCTGGTGACATCTCCTTTGTCATCGTGATCGCTCTGCCAAGGTCCCCCCACCGTCGCTCGATTCCCTCTCCATCTGTGCGCCCTGCACCCCACATAAGGTTAAGAGAATATTGTGTAGCGCACTTTTTGTTGTGACCCGGCCCATGGAACTTGGGTATACCAAACATAAGGATGTCGGCAAGCGTCATTACCGACATCTGCATATCGAGAGGTAGTGAGTCCATTTGCTTGAATAGATTGATCCTCCGTTGACAGGCGATGTCGTATGATATTACGACAAGGAGGAGGAAGACAATTGCCATTGTCGAGAAAAAGATGTAGTCCATATTAGGGTATCTAGGATGCTGAGTCAACAGAGCACGCAAGCGTATTGTCATCGTGACTAACCGCTCTCCAGCTTGTAAATCACCGACCCCTAACACACAGATTAACTCGTGGCGAGCGCATATGACCATCCCTACGCCCGTTGCTCGAAGTCCGTGGTAGAATTTTGTCTCGGCGCTGGAGAGCAAGCGAAATCCCAAACATGTTGAAATCTAATAGTAGAGTAGTGAGCTCTGAATACACGAAGTGAGAGAGCAGCACTTACGTCTCTTTGGGCCTTGGTACAATGAATGTAGTCCATATATGGACCTGTTTTGACGAAGTACGCTAGACCGTTGTGGAGCTCAACGTCAGTGGCAGACTCCCCACGGTTGCGATTCTTCAGTCGAAAATTGGTGTCCATCGCAAGGAAAAGACAATACAAAAACCTGAAAAATATCAGCCACTGCGTTGAAGTGTTGTATAACGAAGTACATACTTGCGAGACACGTCGGTTTCCTCCCAACCGGAAGGAAGATTGATACCGGGATGAGGACAGGCCAGGCACGCAACCGCGAGCTCTCCTGGCTTAGTGGTATCAATGCCATCCAACACGTTACCACGGCCCGCTTCTTTCATCAGCTTGATGTGGTCCTGCTGACGGACCGTGCGAAGGAAAGCCTTGTATTGACGCTACAATATAAATTAGAATGCAGACTTAGAATATTCGCAATCTTTATTCACCTTGGGAACATTCAAGCCTGTTGAGTCAGTCAAAACCTCCAGAGCTTCGTAGTATCCATACGCGGATACCTTAGTCTTGGAGGCGAGAGCTGAAAACTGTCCAAGGGCCTCTTCTGTTGACGCCGTACGAATGATGTCGATAGTAGATGGGTACCAACCAAAGCATAGAAGCTGCAGTCGATAGGATACCTTCCTGTTGCAGTTACAATAGTCGACCTGTATTCGATGGAGACCGTTGGCATGTATCACTACAAAATCCGGATGACCTGGGTGAGGGAGCACACATTGTGAGCTGTCCTCGTGACCCAGCTGAACTCTTAGCCCAAGGGAAGTTAGAGAAACCCTCTGGAAGAATGATCCATTCCATTCCTAATCAAATACAGTGAGGATGCTCGTACGCGAGTTGACGAAAGATGAGACACTTACAGATATATAGTGCAGAGGCAAGTTTGAATGCGCTGATAAGCAGCACTCTCTACAGGTCATATGACGCCCGGAATAAGTCTTGCAGCGGTAGACTCGGGGACGTCCGCACTTACAGTCACAGCAGGTGTCTGCTGCGCAACCGCGGCCTTCAAGCCTAATGTCTTCATTCAGATACTCTTGGCGGTAACCTTCCAGCTGCCCGTCTCCTGCCCAGGCTCTAAGAGGTGTGTCCTGTATATTTATAAACATTAAACCACCGTGCAAATAATGATGAACACAGGCATACCCCAATAGATGAGCCCTGTCTGTTTGAGCTAGGTTCTGTAACCACATGCTCGCGCGCTGCCGGCTCAAGTACATTGTAGGACTCATCATCATCATCATCATTCTCTTCTTCGGCTAGCTGAGACGATTGGTACTCTAACGGGGTTTGCCAGTCTCCCAACAGATCCTCATAATGGACCAACGCCAACTGCTGGCTAGTGGGCTCATGCCGCTCGGTTTGAGACACTTTCAGCCATCGGCTTGTACAAGATGATGGTACGTCGATTGTCTGTGAGTAGCTGTTCAAAAGGTCGGGGTCATCATCATTGCCATCATTGTCTGACAGATGATTATAGGCGGACGGATGTGTTCGTTTCTTTCCTCGGGGGGTGAGCATCACAAAGAGCGAGGGGTCCGAGATGGAGGAACACACCCTATGACGGTGAGCAGCGACAATTATACTTGCCCTCGGTGGTTTGGCACAGTGCACACTGACTTGTCTTGTCTTGCTCTACCAGTCCTCAGGTGATTTACCCTCCACGTTGGTTAGCTATAGGCACAAAATGGCAATCGTAACGCCTTCGCGTTTTCAATCGTTCAGTTTGTTTCCATCTGATTGATCGGGCAAGTTGAGTATTTCGTCATGTAAGACTTCTATGTTAGCTGCTCCTTGGTTGCAGAGATCTCACATTCCCATGCTTCGATTTAAGCATGGTTCGATTCAACCGTGTGGAACTCGGGCGCCTGTCACGGAGCACCCAGCTGTAGCGTAGCGGCTACGCTTCTGGAACATCCACCTTGAATAGGAACAGCCTCTCTGTACTCAGCCGACGAGGTCCGTCTAAGTCCAAGCCCATAAAATATGAAGTGTTTCAGCGCACCGCCCTCAGCCCACCATGTCTTTCGCTCACGTTAACAATCTGCCTTGTTCTCATGCCCAGTCCGAGGCGCTTTCGCTGTCAGATGGCTCAGAGAGTCCTCCTCTGTACTCCACACCCAATCACGCTTTCATGTCGTCCCAGACCACCGTAATCAACACTACGCTCGAGAAAGACTTCACCGTCAACTTTAATTGTGGGCATCTCGGCATGAACATTGTTGGTAACAGCGATGTGACCGAGGCCAGGGTCAGGTGTCTTTCCGAGTGCTGCGGTGAGTCATATCCATTACTCTTCATATCAATCTCGCTCACATTTTGGTCCAGTCGATATCCTTTACGACAAGGTCATCGAGGGCCTGTTTGCTCCCGCATGGAGGAAGGAGTTCCAGGCTCTTGTCGCTCTCGCTGTCAGCAATGAAGTGAATGATATCTACAAGGACGATACCTTCGCCACGTACGTGACTTTACTACTGCTGCTTTTACGACTGTACTAACTTCATGTTTTCCTTAGGTTCTTTCACAGCTGTGCGGCCGAGGAAGTGGCCAGGGCGCTCGAAGCTGCTAAGGTCAGGCAGACGTACCAGGCAGCGGTGAGTTTATGGACTCTCACCTGGGTTCTAGTGTTTATATTCTCTGTAGCAGAGGCGCACGGGCTCCTCGTTTCGCCGAGCCCACCGTGGGTTATCAGTACCTTTAGAGGAGATGCCTCTTGGAGACGTCTCGTCAGCGGGTCCTCTCGAAGGCATCGAACTGACGTGCTTGGGCATGATGAACCCCACCCGTCGTCCTATGGGCGTCATCCCCGGTGACAGGATCATCAACCGTAATGTCAACCCGACAATGCGTAGGCTGATCTCCCGTCTCCCGAAGCGCGACGTAGTATTGCCAAATCGCGCCTCGGTGACGTACTTCACGCTGCCGTCGAAGTCCACAGCACCATTCTATTGGGTGCCGTATGGACACGCCATTGGCGTGTTCTCAGGGTGAGTATTTTTTTTTCACTTGTCGCAATCAATTGTGACTGATTCTTGCTAGAGAAAGCAGAATTTCACCCTCTGGGCCGCTGTTAACGGCGCTGAATCCCACGCCTGCGATACAGTGGACAAAGCCCATGACCTGCTCGAGGATGCCTTGATTCACGGTCGCTTTGGGCTGATTCAATGAAGGGCCCCTTTGTAGAGTTTGTGGAGCACTGTCGATGTCTACCGTTTCCATTTGCAGAGTATCACTGCCAAGTCTTGCGCGTATAATATCTAGTTCTATCTCAATGTGGTCCATGATGTAGTCTTGCCATAAATATGCATTGTCTTAACGCTCACGAGCACGCGACGTGTTCCAGTCCTGAAATTATATATAGGGTCTTGAGAATGGCAGACAAAGGCTTGTACCGATGGCACGCTTGCACAGTATTTCACTTAAGTTCACTCAAGACATGGCCATGTTCATTCATTGACTTGTACTTTACATGACTTCAAGAACGTATAAAAGCTAATATATCGAATGGATTGGCTAGTATGTGCTTCCTTAATTAGCAGCCGGGACACCGAGAGAGATCATGTA